ATATATATATATATATATATATACATAGTAAATATACACAGTACGCACACATATATTAAGTAAACAAAAGCTTTTATTTTGGATGCAATTAATCGTTTGACAGCACTAATTATTATTATTATTATTATTAAACAGACATGTTTGCATTTTTATAATTATTTTGTATAATTATTTTATAGTAAGTCTGTAATTAGTATGTATTAATAAAAATGTTGTTAGATATCAACTTTTATAAAACTAGAACTTTCTATTATAACAAAACTATTTTTAAAACCTCAATAATAACTATAATAAGTGTATATTATCCATACGAAAGGTTTATTGTTGGTTTATTTTTTTTCATTAATTTTTATGCATTTAGAAATGTTTTTAGCTCTATTCTTGATTATTTATATTTTTTCAAAAATACATTTTTAGTCATGGTTAATGTCATGTTCATTTTTGTTTTGAATTGGTTAACTACTCTAAAATGATTTTGTCATTAAAAAGATTATGTAACAATAATTGATGTGCGAATTTTGCAAGCCAGTTAAAACCCCATAATTTACAAGAGATCATGACGTCCCATGCCTCAGATACGAAGGGGCTTCTTAGTAATCTCATTTCTCAGAATGAAAAAAAAAAAAAAACTAAATTGAAAAACAAGCAGCTTATACAGTTAACAATTTGCTGTATTTTAATTATATTCATTTATTAGATCTTAGATCTCAGAGGTGATATTCATATTCCAGTTTCTCCAAAACACTGTGAAAGTTATAGACAATTACAGTAGGCAAATTTATTAACTTAGGTTTCAATCAATACATTTATTAAGAAAATTGTAGAAAAATTAATACAAATATAATGACCTTGGTCTCGTATGTTAACTAATAGCTAAATATACAAAGTTTGACTGTGAAAAAATGTCATTACTTTGAAAACCATCATTTCATTGTAAGTCTGTGTGAGAGAACGTGATTGAAAAAAGATTACATTCATGCTGTTCTCCTGAGTGACATCTCTCTTCATTCAAACTTATGTGCATGTGGTAAACGTTTAATATAAAACATTTCAATACTTTCACATCTACAGTACCAAAGGACAATTTTGCATAATAATAATAATCCATCTGTATAAATATTATGCATTTAATACAAAAATAATGCTTTTTATTCATTGTGTGTCTTCTATACATAACATGTGAACAAATACACATGATTAGTGCAAACAGTGCATTAAGAGGTTTGGTTTAGTCCTGATGAGACAATCAGTGAATGGAAAATAACCTGATTATAGAAAATAAACATACAGAAAGCATAGTATTTGTTCGTATACAGACTGTGTGTATCTGTATATGGTTTTGTTACAGCATGGTGATTTCACTGGGTGGCAGCGTCAGCCTCTTCTCTCGGACAGAGAGCATATTCTCAATGTGCATGGCGATAACCCGACACAGCTCCAGACCCTGCAAACAACATATATGCTCATAAACCACTCATTCATACTTTTACACTGTTCTCATGGTGTCGAATGTGTGTTACCTGTTCCAGCTGTAACTGTGTGACTCTGTGGTTGGTTAAGTCCCCTATCAGGACGTCTACATAAGGGTAACTGGATCCAGCGCTGGGCCGCTGTGTGTGAGCCGACTGAATCAGCTTCAGCTGGAACTTCACCTGCACCTCCTGCCATCAGAAAATCAATTTGGAAAACTGAAAACATTACAGGGCTTCTGCAGGGTTGATGAAGGTGAATTTAAGACAGTTAAAGATCGTTTTAAGACCTATTGAAGATAACTTAAGGAATTTCAAAGGGGACACAATACGTCAATATGTTCTCTATATGTAAATGTCTGAGGAGTTATATTAGCAGTACTTCAAAGTTTGAAAATACAACTTTTAGCTAACCAATCTCTATTACTTTTTAAACCCAGCTTAACTAAAATATAGAATTAACTTTTACTGTACCTTCCAATCACACTGCATAAAGGTGAACTTCTTCCTCAGTACTCTTTCCCCCAAATTAAGTAAGTTTATGATTAAAAAAAATTAGAAAGGACATATATCTGTCAGTGGGTTTAGAAAAAAGTTTTTATACCACATTGACAGATATAAGTTCTTGTTTTAATCATAAATTCAAATTTAGTTAAATTTCTCAAAAAAACAAGACATGAAAACTTCATGTCTTTATTTTCCATCTCAAGTAAATGGATCTTGATTTAAGAATGTTTAGATACTTTTATTGGGAAACAAGACAAAAACTTGTTTTTTGCAATGTATGCAACATTTAATGCCACATAATGTAAGTACACAAGTCAGCAAAATATATAACACCGTTCTAGTGGTTTTTGGATATTTTAATAAAAAAATCTTACATATTGTGCCTTGAAGGGCAAGACCTTTTTAGGACCTATAGAAACCCTGCATTACCGTTAGAAGTCTGTGTGTTTGCGATACGCACATGAGTGTCTTTGTGCAGGAAGTGCAGTCCGTTCTGATTGACAGCGAGGATGCACGGTGCAGAGATGGTGCTGTTGCTGCTGCTTTGGATGTAAAAGAAGGACGATCCAAACATGGGAAATGCACACACCAAACCTGAAGTACACACACAAACACAATTCAACAAACCTTGCTTTTCATCTTGGTAATACTCGATTATAAAAAGGTAAAAAGTGAATGAGGATGTTTGAGAATAAAATACCCAGGAACTGGGATCTGGTCTGGTGAGGGTTCAGGCTTTGGACGGCATGTACATGTTGGGCAACCAGTTGCATCCACTGCTGAGGCCCCTGTCTGCCAAAGATCTCAACTGGGATGTATTCTGTCAACTCATGACTACAAAAAGAGAACATTTTTCGAGTCAATATGTGACCCTGGACCACAAAACCAGTCATAAGTAGCACAGGTATATTTGTCACAATAGCCAACAATACATTGTATGGGTCAAAATGATTTTTCTTTTATGCCAAAAATCATTAGGATACACTCTAAAAAATGCTGGGTTG